ACAAACGAGATTACTTGAAAATTATGTTGGAATAAAAAACGAAGGAGATCTTCGATGAATGATTTGAAAATTCGACGAATTTACTTGAAAATTATTATTATCCTTAAATTTAAAATATGAATAAATATTATTATTGTCAATTATTATATTATAATATTATTATAATATTATTATAATAAATATTATATTTATACATTATTTTATTATAATATTATTATAGCAACTATAATTTTTATACACTATTATAATAAATATTATTATTATACATTATTATGTTATAATATTATTATAATAAACATTATTATTATATTATAATATTATTATAATAAATATTATGTTTATACATTATTGTATTATAATATTATTATAGTAAATATATTATAATATCTATTATTAGATTATAATATTATTATAATAAATAATATTATTACAGTAAATATATAATATAATATTATTATTATGTATTATTATATTATAATATTATTATAATAAATTATAATATATTATATACATCAGTATTAACAGTTCATTATTATATTAATAAATATTATTATCGTTAACTTAACGACGACGAAACGTAGATAACGGACGTTCGTACAAAGCAATTTACGAAAAAAAAGGAAACGAAGACGGGAGCGTCAATTTTTCTGTGTTTCGTAGAAGAATCTTCAGCGGCAATTAATCTCAACCAGCCGCCGCAAAAACGTGGGGGAGATATTTCGGCGACTCGTGTAAATAAATTATGATACATTGCGAGAGGTATCCTCCAGATAGTTTCGAGGTTTTCCTAACATTCGAAACGTGCGGTTTATTCGGAACTCCCGGTTCCATGCCATTTGTCCCACTTCGCGCAGCAAGTTATAGGAAACTAATGAAATATGTTTGAAACGCGTAGACGGAACGGCTGGAATTCGGATGCGAGGACAATTATTAGTTACCATTCCGGGAATGTTTAATTGTACTCCATTTATACTTCGCTGGTATTCCATTTCTGTCATCGCAGAGTTAGCCACACCGACGAAAATTCTGTTAATTATTTATAGATACTATTGGAAACAGATTTTCGCAGCCGCGATTCGATCATTTTTTTACACGTTTATGTCTGCGAATTGTTTTCTTTTTTCTTTGGAAGCGAACGTTTCGTTAAAAATCTGTCGAGGGAGCGCTGAAGTGTGCGTTACACCGAAATTTTTTATTGCCAAAGGCAATTTCGATTTTCAAGGAAAAATCGAAGACGATTTTTTCATGTTTAAAGTAAATTTTATTCGATGTCGTACTGACTATAATGACTGATAAATTTTTTTTTCTTTCTTTCTGGTAATTTGGAATATACAAGATTTAATTATTCTTTTTTTTGTGTGGAGAACGAAATTATTTTTCTGTTGTATAGAATTATCATTTCGGATTGCTTGTGCTTATATCTAATCGACAAATTTTTGCAGTTACTCGGAAATTAGTTTGAAAAAACGTCAAAAGATCGACTGAGTTTTTTAATGGTTTATATCTTGAACAACAACTGAGGATTTTTCCATTGCAAAAAACAATGGATGGAATACA